TTTCTTCATGACTTTTAAGAAACAGAGTAGTCTTGCCTTGCAAGTTGCAAAGATGAAATTTATTGCATGTCGTTTTCTTCATGATTATTGCATGTTGTTTTCTTCAAAACAGAGTAGTCTTGCCTTGCAAGTTGCAAAGATGGAATTTATTGCATGTCGTTTTCTTCATGACTTTTAAGAAACAGAATAGTCAATACTCCTTGACTTATTGTACATGAAAAGGACAAGAAATAAAAGATGAGATCATATTAACCTCCACCTCACCCCATTTCATAAGCTGGCCACGGACTTGACTTAGTGTACTTCCAAAGTCAACAACTTGTTCTATCCTCAACTTGTTTGAAGAATATTGCGATATATACTACTCAAGAGTTTGAGTCTATATCCCTCAGTTCCACTTCAATTCTTTCTTAACACTCAAGTCCAAAATCAAGAGTTCCAAAACATACGTTATTTAGTAGCTTTGAATCATGAGCTGAACCCTCCCACCCGCTAAGAACGTACATGAATTCCAAATCAAAGTTACAAGCTGCTAATACATTTTGTGATATCTTTCCATGACGATTACGATAACTGCTTACATCTCATCCCCTCACCATTGCCGGAATATGTGTACCATCAATAGCTCCGATGCAATCCTAAAAATATTCATATATCACAATAACCATATTATGAAAAATACATATTATAATAACAATATTATTATAATTAGATAATTATCACATACCTTGAAATCAGGGTAAAACCTTGTGCTTTCCCTTATTAGACTTGGGTGGGACTAGCAAAGAACAAATTATTCATTATTAATATATTGCAAATAATATATTGTACTAAACTAGTAAGCTATTAATATATTTAAAAGATTATGAACTAAGCTCACCTTCAAGTAATCTTTCCATACTTCATCACTAGCAGTGAACGTCTTTGCAATTGGGTCCCACCCAAAGCCAGAGTTACGCATAAGCGTAGACATCTTGTTATATTGCTTCTTAAACCACTTCATTCGGCTCAAGTAATTATTATAAGTTTTTGGGAACCTAATTTTCGCATTAAGACGAGGAAGTATCAGTCTTTCTACATTTTGCTTGCTAAGTGACCCATTAGCATCACGCAATCCACTATTGATAGCATCCACCAAGAGGTGCAACAACTCATTGGTATCGTCCATGGTCCAAGATTCATAGTTCTCGTTCTCTTTGCCCTTTTGTTGCATTCCTAAGAGGACACAAATTAATGTGCAAACAACCAATTAAAAATACCCGCAAGTGCACGGATCTATCGAAGTATAGATTATGTAAGTACGGGGTCGATCCCACGAAGAACTTGTCGGCTTCCTATAAGTTCTAATTTGAGTACGTAAAGAACACTTAATTGACACACCACAAATCTGTGGGGGTTAATCTTTGAATTGGAAAATACTGATTTCCTAGAAACTCATGTATTTGTCAATGAGAGTATCAAACTACTGTATTGGTCTGGTCATTCTTGAATGCTATTATAAAGTCATTGAAGAAATACAAATTCTACTATATTGGACCAGACCTGTTTTGTTCATGCAATAGGTAGCAACAATTGTTGCGAGACACAGACCCACGAAGCATGGAAAAGATAGCAGCAAACCCACGAAGGGCCATAGACACAGATCATATACAAACATGGCATATAACAAATATATAGACAATAAACGCAAGAAGACATAGCACGAGAAGGAAGCAATACCTTGTTGAAGAGCTGTTTATCTTCACGAAGAGCTGTTCGTCTTCTCTAGCAGACAAAAAAAAATCTCACGTGAAAAGTCTGATGGTTAGGGTGGGATTTTTTATAGGGTTTGGTATTTATACCTCCCACTAAAAAGTCACACAAATTCCCTATTTTAAAAAAATCCTTCGAAATTAGCAAGTTTTTGAATACCAAAAGACTTTTTGTTACTTGTTTAAAGTCTTAATTGAATACCACTAGATTTGGACACCCTTTTTAAAAAATCATAATAGTCCTGATTGAATACCACAAGACTTGTTTAGATTATTTAAAAGTCTTAATTGAATACCACAAGACTTATTTGTCCCAAAAATAGTCTTTTAAAATCCTAATTGAATACAACAGCCTAGAAGGCCAAGAAAATCTAGAAAGAAAGAAGAGGGAGAGCACAAGGGCAAAATGAAGATGGGAGAGTCAAGCAACACAGCTGAAACTACATTGTCTCGTATTCCCCGAAGACTACATTGTCTCGTATTCCCAACACACAGGACTCTCTCAAATGTGGGCAATGTGGTAAAAATGGGCACAATAGGAGGACTTGCCATAGGAATCTTTCCCCAAAGGCCAAAACTGCAAGTAAGAGGAAGAGAAGTACTGAAAATATCCAAGTATAGCAACTCAATCTTGCTCAATTCTATC